TCTTATTGACTGACATTCTACCTTCTCTATTGACTGACTACCTTCTCTATTTGACTCATACATCATACCTTCTCTATTGACTGACATTCTACCTTCTCTATTGACTGACATCATACCTTCTCTATTGACTGACATTCTACCTTCTCTATTGACTGACATTCTACCTTCTCTATTGACTGACATCATACCTTCTCTATTGACTGACAGTATACCTTCTCTATTGACTGACATTCTACCTTCTCTATTGACTGACACTGACATCATACCTTCTCTATTGACTGACATTCTACCTTCTCTATTGACTGACATCATACCTTCTCTATTGACTGACAGTATACCTTCTCTATTGACTGACATTCTACCTTCTCTATTGACTGACATCATACCTTCTCTATTGACTGACATTCTACCTTCTCTATTGACTGACATTCTACCTTCTCTATTGACTGACATCATACCTTCTCTATTGACTGACATCATACCTTCTCTATTGACTGACATCATACCTTCTCTATTGACTGACATTCTACCTTCTCTATTGACTGACATCATACCTTCTCTATTGACTGACATTACCTTCTCTATTTGACCTTCTCTATTGACATTCTACCTTCTCTATTTGACTGACTGATTCATACCTTCTCTATTGACTATTGACATCATACCTTCTCTATTGACTGACATTCTACCTTCTCTATTGACTGACATCATACCTTCTCTATTGACTGACATTCTACCATCTCTATTGACTGACATCATACCTTCTCTATTGACTGACATTCTACCTTCTCTATTGACTGACATCATACCTTCTCTATTGACTGACATCATACCTTCTCCTCTACATCTACCTTCTCTTGACTGACATCATACCTTCTCTATTGACTGACATTCTACCTTCTCTATTGACTGACATTCTACCTTCTCTATTGACTGACATCATACCTTCTCTATTGACTGACATTCTACCTTCTCTATTGACTGACATTCTACCTTCTCTATTGACTGACATCATACCTTCTCTATTGACTGACATCATACCTTCTCTATTGACTGACATCATACCTTCTCTATTGACTGACATCATACCTTCTCTATTGACTGACAGGATACCTTCACTATTGACTACCTACCTACTCTATTGACTGACAGTCTACCTTCTCTATTGACTGACATTCTACCTTCTCTATTGACTGACATTCTACCTTCTCTATTGACTGACATTCTACCTTCTCTATTGACTGACATTCTACCTTCTCTGTTGACTGACATTCTACCTTCTCTATTGACTGACATTCTACCTTCTCTATTGACTGACATCATACCTTCTCTATTGACTGACATCATACCTTCTCTATTGACTGACATAATACCTTCTCTATTGACTGACATTATACCTTCTCTATTGACTGACATCATACCTTCTCTATTGACTGACATTCTACCTTCTCTATTGACTGACATCATACCTTCTCTATTGACTGACATCATACCTTCTCTATTGACTGACATCATACCTTCTCTATTGACTGACATCATACCTTCTCTATTGACTGACATCATACCTTCTCTATTGACTGACATAGCTTCTCTATTGAATGACATCATACCTTCTCTATTGACTGACACCTTCTTCTACCTTCTCTATTGACTGACATTCTACCTTCTCTATTGACTGACATCATACCTTTCTCTATTGACTTCATACCTGACTGACATCATTCTCTATTGACTGACACCTTTCTACCTTCTCTATTGACTGACATTCTACCTTCTCTATTGACTGACATTCTACCTTCTCTATTGACTGACATTCTACCTTCTCTATTGACTGACATCATACTTTCTCTATTGACTGACATTCTACCTTCTCTATTGACTGACATTCTACCTTCTCTATTGACTGACATTCTACCTTCTCTATTGACTGACATTCATACCTTCTCTATTGACATCATACCTTCTGACATTGACTCATACCTTCTCTATTGACTGACATTCTACCTTCTCTATTGACTGACATTCTACCTTCTCTATTGACTGACATTCTACCTTCTCTATTGACTGACATCATACCTTCTCTATTGACTGACATTCTACCTTCTCTATTGACTGACATCATACCTTCTCTGTTGACTGTCACTTATAAATGAAGCTGAGATTGAGCAGAAAAACAAGCAGCATTTAAATAGATTTCCTTTCACAAACGTCTTGACAAACCCATAAAATCTCAATATCATAAAACCTGCTAAATTACACTGTCATTCTTAATATCATTCCTTTACAGGAATGAGTCAAAACATTTAGCTGTTTGGTCATGGTAAATTTTAATTGCAGTATACAGTGACCACCCAGTATGTCCACTGAAAGCAATTTCAGCTTTAATGAGATCTCTAATTTGGGCCAGGTGTTCTCTGAACTAGTCCGACCTTAAAACATGTATGTTTTTCCTTCGTTAATTTGTTATTTCTGTTTATACCCAGCTACTGACAAATTTCTTTTACGGAGTGTCAGACATTTATTCACAGAAGACCGAGGGTATGGATGCCAGAACTCAAACACATCACACCTGTTCACCGTTACTAAAATGACTTTTAACATTGGTAATCTGGGTTCACTTGGGTCTAAGGTTGTTTACACTGATACACACCTACCCCACTGCTATTTCTACTATTTCTTGTTTTACTTCTCTCTACTTAGTCCTAGTTTCTTGTTATTCCGACTGATTTAGCCTGCCGTGTTTCTACACTTCACTGATAAAGGTAGATCATTGATTCTTTCTAGGTGTGTAACACTATGATTCAAGCCTTTCAAGATTTCTCAGTTTATTTCAATTTTGAAGTCAAATAGTGTTTACTAATTGTTTTTTGATATGACTACTTTTTATAACTACCAGTTTTGTGTTATCCAGTTTGATAACTTTTTTATATATATTTATAACAAGAGGTAATGGGAAGATTGTTATTTTTGCATCCCTACACACACCCATCAAGATGGAAATTTTATCCCTAAAAAAAAAAAAAAAAGATTTTTAATCGTTACAAAATTCAAAATTATGGGTCTAGAATTCCAACAAAATTTAGAGGTTAACTCATGGCTCTCTCTCGTCTTCCATTGTCCAGCATCACAGTCATGTTTCTGTATTGAAAACCCTTGATCATGTTTGACCATAATTATATCCGTTGTTTACAAGAAAACTGTTTAAAATAATATGATATAGGATCCTATAGGTTAGAACAAGCTCCCCCACTACCCTGTTAATTATAAAAGACATTTTTGAAAATAAAGGACACTTATTTGGAAATCATTTATGTGTATGTTATATCATTGCGATCAAATTATCTCCTGGAGTTCAATGAAGATTATTTGATCAATTTGCATCTATAAAGATATTCATAATGTCAAAGGTCATTGGAGGTTGTAGGTCAGGTTTTGAATGAGATTGATAGGCATCACATGCAGGTATGTTGTCTAGCTTCACTGTGAATTAAATTTTATATATAATAGCATACGTTTAAACGTGAGAAATATGATACTAGTGTAGATTTGTGTTGTATATACAATCATCACAGCAGTGATGTAATGATATATTACAGAAAATCGATCCCTTTGATCTTTTTGAATGTGTGTGGCTTAGAGTAAATAGCCACTCATGTATTGTTCCTGTACCGTAAATAATCAGCATTACAGCCTGTGACTTGAGTACTAACAGGTACGTCCACTGTGTCTATCAATGTTTATCAGAATTACCATTAGCTGCTATTTCGTTGTCTTACATTAAGCTGTTGCTCCCTCTGATCTTGGAAATATGTCTTGCTATGTATGCAGCATTTATTACCCCGTGAACAGTCAGTGTCATTTTGAAGTGAGGTGATCAGATATCTGAGGATCACAGACATGGTTAGGAAGTATTGTGCCACCTACATTCAGTCTGTGTATATATATATATATATATTTATGTAAATATTCTGTTGGTGAATTTCAATTTAATATTACTCTAGCTGTTCTTATATGAACAAATTAAAAATAAACAATTATAAAATTAAGTTTAAATCTCCGAAAATACACACTAGACAGATACAACTGATAAATTGTAACACACTTGACAGATACAACTGATAAATTGTAACACACTAGACAGAAACAACAGATAAATTGTAACATACTAGACAGAAACAACAGATAAATTGTAACATACTAGACAGAAACAACAGATAAATTGTAACACACTAGACAGAAACAACAGATAAATTGTAACACACCAGACAGAAACAACAGATAAATTGTAACACACCAGACAGAAACAACAGATAAATTGAAACTCACGAGACATAAACAACAGATAAATTGTAACATACTAGACAGATACAACAGATAAATTGCAACACACGAGACAGATACAACAGATAAATTGTAACACACGAGACAGAAACAACAGATAAATTGTAACACACTAGACAGAAACAACAGATAAATTGTAACACACTTACCAGATATGTTGTAAGATACTTGACGGATAAAATAAGTTACACACTTGACAGATACATATTAACACACTTAACAGATAGCTTGTAGACTATCCCCTTGTTTACAAATTGTTCTGTCATGAAGTACATCCTTTGTAATGTTGTACATACACACTCAGTGATGTTATATATATTTGTGGGTAACAAGGAGGCTTTGATTTGATGCTGTTGATCCCATACATTCATTTTTTTCAGAAAGGCATCAGGACCATGTTCTGGTAATACAATAAATCTGGTGTTATTTTCTCTATACAAAGGAAGCCGTATATTTTTGATAAAATTATGAATTCAATTAATTCAATCAATTAATTAAGTTACTATGTTATACATATTTTGTACTTTGTTTTTTCAGATGGTGAATTAACAACAAAGACAAGTCTACCAAGAGTCGAATCAGTATGTCTTCCTCGCTTCATGTTTCCTACCTGTTGCTCATTTTTGGGATTTTAGCTTGGTGTGCGACAGCAGGGGTTGATTCTACTCCACGTCGACCTAATCGAAGGAAAAACAAACAAACAAAACCAAACATCATAGTGATTATGGCTGATGATCAAGATGTACTGCTGGGTAAATATTTACTTATTACAAACACTGCAGTGATCATGACTAATGAATAAAACTATATTACTGGGTAAATACTCAATGAAATCAAACATTACATTGATTATGACTTACGAATTATACTCACTTATGATAAATCATTCTCAATTGAAATCAAATGTTACATGATTAAGACTGATAATTACTTTAGGTTCATGCAGTTATATATCTTAAGGCAAGAACTATTGTAATGTGAAAGTGTTACTTCAAAAATGCATAAAATTCTGTTACGCAAAACTGTTTTCTTGGATCATACAAAAATGTCAAGATTCTTTTGTTTCAAAAATTTGACTTCCACTTCTGTCTTGATTTTCAGGGTCAATGGAAGTCATGCCTAAGACACTTCGAATCATGCGTGACCAGGGCCTGGAATTTAATAATTCCTTTGTGTCGTCACCGATGTGTTGTCCATCACGATCATCATTCCTTACAGGATTATACCCTCATAACCATCATGTATATACCAACAATGAGAACTGTTCTGGGGAATACTGGATACAAAATCACGAACCTAACACCTTCGCCACTTATCTCAATAACGCAGGATATCGTACAGGTAGTGTACTACGAGATATAACAACTGAAGTAATAACACCAGCCAGGCTTAGGTTTGTACTCCATCTCTATGTACATCGGGCAGAGTGTCCTTTTTTCTGGATATGTCTAGTCTTTGTTACAGAGTTGTGGCCCTTATTGCCCCATTATGCCAGTCAGACACTAGGTTTGCTCAGTCCATCTGGCAGTGTGTCCTTTTTTTGTGGAGATGTCTAGTCTTTGTTACAGAGTTGTGGCCCTTATTGCCCCATCATGCCAGCCAGACATTAGGTTTGCTCAGTCCATCTGGCAGTGTGTCCTTTTTTTGTGGAGATGTCTAGTCTTTGTTACAGAGTTGTGGCCCTTAGTGCCCCCATCATGCCAGCCAGACATTAGGTTTGCTCAGTCCATCTGGCAGTGTGTCCTTTTTTTGTGGAGATGTCTAGTCTTTGTTACAGAGTTGTGGCCCTTAGTGCCCCATCATGCCAGCCAGACATTAGGTTTGCTCAATCCATCTGGCAGTATGTCCTTTTTTTGTGGAGATGTCTAGTCTTTGATACAGAGTTGTGGCCCTTAGTGCCCCCATCATGCCAGCCAGACATTAGGTTTGCTCAGTCCATCTGGCAGTATGTCCTTTTTTCTGGATATGTCTAGTCTTTGTTACAGAGTTGTGGCCCTTATTGCCCCATCATGCCAGCCAGACACTAGGTTTGCTCAGTCCATCTGGCAGTGTGTCCTTTTTTTGTGGAGATGTCTAGTCTTTGTTACAGAGTTGTGGCCCTTATTGCCCCATCATGCCAGCCAGACACTAGGTTTGCTCAGTCCATCTGGCAGTGTGTCCTTTTTTTGTGGAGATGTCTAGTCTTTGTTACAGAGTTGTGGCCCTTATTGCCCCATCATGCCAGCCAGACATTAGGTTTGCTCAGTCCATCTGGCAGTGTGTCCTTTTTTTGTGGAGATGTCTAGTCTTTGTTACAGAGTTGTGGCCCTTAGTGCCCCCATCATGCCAGCCAGACATTAGGTTTGCTCAGTCCATCTGGCAGTGTGTCCTTTTTTTGTGGAGATGTCTAGTCTTTGTTACAGAGTTGTGGCCCTTAGTGCCCCATCATGCCAGCCAGACATTAGGTTTGCTCAATCCATCTGGCAGTATGTCCTTTTTTTGTGGAGATGTCTAGTCTTTGATAGAGTTGTGGCCCTTAGTGCCCCCATCATGCCAGCCAGACATTAGGTTTGCTCAGTCCATCTGGCAGTATGTCCTTTTTTCTGGATATGTCTAGTCTTTGTTACAGAGTTGTGGCCCTTATTGCCCCATCATGCCAGCCAGACACTAGGTTTGCTCAGTCCATCTGGCAGTGTGTCCTTTTTTTGTGGAGATGTCTAGTCTTTGTTACAGAGTTGTGGCCCTTATTGCCCCATCATGCCAGCCAGACATTAGGTTTGCTCAGTCCATCTGGCAGTGTGTCCTTTTTTTGTGGAGATGTCTAGTCTTTGTTACAGAGTTGTGGCCCTTAGTGCCCCCATCATGCCAGCCAGACATTTGGTTTGCTCAGTCCATCTGGCAGTGTGTCCTTTTTTTGTGGAGATGTCTAGTCTTTGTTACAGAGTTGTGGCCCTTAGTGCCCCATCATGCCAGCCAGACATTAGGTTTGCTCAGTCCATCTGGCAGTATGTCCTTTTTTTGTGGAGATGTCTAGTCTTTGTTACAGAGTTGTGGCCCTTAGTGCCCCCATCATGCCAGCCAGACATTAGGTTTGCTCAGTCCATCTGGCAGTGTGTCCTTTTTTTGTGGAGATGTCTAGTCTTTGTTACAGAGTTGTGGCCCTTAGTGCCCCATCATGCCAGCCAGACATTAGGTTTGCTCAATCCATCTGGCAGTATGTCCTTTTTTTGTGGAGATGTCTAGTCTTTGATAGAGTTGTGGCCCTTAGTGCCCCCATCATGCCAGCCAGACATTAGGTTTGCTCAGTCCATCTGGCAGTATGTCCTTTTTTCTGGATATGTCTAGTCTTTGTTACAGAGTTGTGGCCCTTATTGCCCCATCATGCCAGCCAGACACTAGGTTTGCTCAGTCCATCTGGCAGTGTGTCCTTTTTTTGTGGAGATGTCTAGTCTTTGTTACAGAGTTGTGGCCCTTATTGCCCCATCATGCCAGCCAGACATTAGGTTTGCTCAGTCCATCTGGCAGTGTGTCCTTTTTTTGTGGAGATGTCTAGTCTTTGTTACAGAGTTGTGGCCCTTAGTGCCCCCATCATGCCAGCCAGACATTTGGTTTGCTCAGTCCATCTGGCAGTGTGTCCTTTTTTTGTGGAGATGTCTAGTCTTTGTTACAGAGTTGTGGCCCTTAGTGCCCCATCATGCCAGCCAGACATTAGGTTTGCTCAGTCCATCTGGCAGTATGTCCTTTTTTTGTGGAGATGTCTAGTCTTTGATACAGAGTTATGGCCCTTGGTACCCCCCATTATACTAGTCAATCTATAAGTTTGCCCTCCTTTGTACATCTGTACATACTGTGGTATGACTACCTTTTAGGATTTTGGAATAAAATATCATGCCGCCATGGCCCTTGTTGTGTTTTTTCAGCTGATGTTAAAAACAATTAGCTGATGTTACTGTGAAATCATTATTTCTTGTGGGGGATTTATTTTCATTGAATTCATAGGTACTCTAAATTCATGAACTTTCATTTCAATAAAATGATAATTAGATAAAAGTTAACATTGATTATATCACTACTACTCTCTGTGAGCAAGATTTAACTCTGAAATCAAGTGCCAACAAAAAAGAAAGTTACGTAAAATCACAAAATTTGAGCCCCATAAAAAAATACATGCTCTGATTTATGAAATAAATTTTAAATGGTCTGTAGCAGTATATAAAAGCTGTGCTGATAGACAGTAATATACAACTGATATTATTTTGTACAATGTTAATATTCAGACTTGTTGCACTGTTTTTAGGTTACTTCGGAAAGTACCTGAACAAATATAATGGTTCGTACATACCCCCTGGATGGCGGGAGTGGGTTGGACTGGTCCGCAACTCTCGTTACTACAACTATTCCATCAACTTCAATGGTAACAAAATGGAGCACGGAGACAATTACTATAGTGACTACTTGACAGATCTCATAGCCAACGACAGTGTTACCTTCCTAAAACAGAGCAAAGAGTACTTTAAAAGAAGGTAACTCATAGCTCATATTTCAAGTTCTGCTTATATTTTCATGTTAAATTAGTTTTAGTTAAAAATATTTGATTAGTTTCATTAGGTTGTTGTTTCCTGATTGTCCTGTTTCGGCGTATTTCAAGGGAGATAACTTAAGTATCCCTGTATACAACTGACAAAACAGATATTTTTTGAGATTTTGACTCACTGTAAAAACATTTGCTGAATAACAAATTTTGATATTTTCTTTATTGATCGAGAATAAAAAAGCAAGATTAAATTCACTAAGATATTATACAGTGTTCCATTATTTCGTTGATGTATATGTCTATCCCACATCTAGATTTACTGATTTCACAATGAATTTTATTATGGTATATAATATTAACGTTGAACATTAAACACTGATGTCTCCATGTTCCAGGCCTGTACTAATGGTTCTTGGTGCCCCGGCACCACATGGCCCTGAAGACTCTGCCCCACAATATCAGCATCTCTTCTTCAACAATACTTTACATAGGTAAGCTACTTAACAGTTCAATTTCATAAAAAAAAATCCATTTAAGTCATTGTCATGGTTTTAAGCTATATTCCATACATCTGAAGCCTTTGAAATTTTTTCACATGCATGTACTCACAGAAATTTATGTATGGTAAAATGTCCATCTAAGATTTATTTCACCAGGAAATTATCTCCCCTTGAAGATGGTGTAAAGTATTTTTATATACATCTGAATCATGTGACTAGCGTGTTCTCGTAGCAATTTTTGTCAAGGTATGATAGTCATTTTGTCTTTGCCTGTAGGGTGTCGTGATCATCTAATATAGCTCCTCTTTGTTCACAGGACACCTACTTGGAATGTGGCACCTAATCTTGACAAACAGTACCTTTTAAAGATCACCAAACAGATGGAACCGATTCATCAGAAGTTTACTGATGTCCTACAACAGAAGCGGCTACAGACTCTCCAGTCAGTAGATGACTTGGTGGAGAAGGTATCAATACACAGCATAATGTACATACTTTATTGTTGCTTCAGACATCTAGACACTATCAATTTCTGACAGATTGCTAGAATAATTTCTGTTTCTAGTGGCTGTTACAATGATGATTAAGTTGAATTTGATTTTTTGTCTAATTTTTCAAAAAATACCTGGTATCGATTAAAATTCTAGAATGGAATTTATTAAGGATACTTGAACACAAAAACACAAGAAACACTTTTTCTAGTAATTTTCTTTAAATTATAGTATTATAGTGATGAAGCATTTTTTCTTTTTTTTTCTTTCTTTCTTTTTTTCTAAATCACAGTTATTAATACTTTACCGGGAGTTTTTTTATTTAAAATTGAAATATCCATTGATTACTGTATGTAATTTCTTTAGAATTTGCATCGAATAGAAACAAATTCATGTATACTGGAACAAGGCCTACCGGTTCTCATAGGGAAATACTATGAATTGTTTTGTTGATCGTGACAGGTGTACACAGAACTATGGATGCTGGGGGAACTGGACAATACATACATCATCTATACATCTGACCACGGCTACCACTTGGGTCAATATGGTGTTATCAAAGGCAAAGGTTTGCCTTACGACTTCGATATCAGAGTTCCACTTTACATCCGAGGACCAGGAATCAAACCCAGATCCAGGTACTTTATGGGAAGGTTAAATTTGTTATACCCGTTGCCTTCTGATTCTGTATGTATCATGAGGTGTTACCCACATCTGTCCATTATTTCAATCTGTTGAGTACGTAGTTGTAGATTTTGTAGGAATTTATTTCATACAGTTGAACACTGTATGATTATGTAAATGCCATATGTCCATCAACTTATTATCTGCTCTGGTTTTTCCACTTATATACAAGTGCAGGTAGAGTTATGTCCCTTGTTTTAAGCTGATTCAGTGTTAGAATGTTTTGATGTCTTTTTTAGGATATCCAATGTTGTGATGAATGTTGATTTAGCACCTACCATACTGGACATGGCTGGAGTTCCAATTCCTGACCACATGGATGGACGGTCAATCCTCAAACTTCTTAAGACCTCCAAAGATTCTACAAGGTAGTAACCAGGTCACTATATCACAAGTATCACTGTAGGATATGCTGTATGTCAGATTATTTTGCTGATGTGTGTTGTGGAAATCTGCTGAATGTATCACGTGCAATTATTCTAAATTCATTTCTTTCTCAATTTCTACGTTTCAAGAAAATTATAGGAAGTATTAAAATACACAAAAATATTCCTGTGAAAATTTGTATCTCCCAACATTACAATGGCGTTTTAAACGTGATAAAAAGACCTCTTTGTCTCATTTGAACTTTCTCAATGATAGTTGAGAAATTGATCTAAGCTGTATGATTACTTACTCAAAGTAAAGGCTCAGATTTAAAGCATGCACAAATGTACCTGTAAAAAACATAGGACCAGGTGAATGAATTAACATACAAATATGTGAGCAATAAACACGGGCAAATTTGTATTTTTTAAATTTTTGTGGTCTTGAAAGGATTGCTAAATTTATGAAAATTAGGTATACACTGAAGATACTTGAGTTATCTAGTACATACAATATTTCTGTAACTATATTTTCATCCCAGTTATATTGAAAACTGATTGTGTCATTTCAACAGAAATTTGTTTTGAACAGAAAAATATATCCACCACCTTTGTGTTAAAATTAACTGGAAGCTGAAAAATTATATCTGAAATAAATGATACTATGAAGAGAAATTCTGAAAGAAAAAAGTTTATAAATTCATATTAATTTTCATACTTTTGAGAAAGTTAAATGAATTTCCTCTAAGCCATTTCTCCAGTAAGAATTGTATTTTGAAGAATGAAGAATAAGTGAAATTGTGATTTAGATAGTAAGGAATTTGTGTTTTGTTTCAGTGTGGACGATAAAGACTTTGTCCAAATGAGGAAACCCTGGCGGGATACAATCTTACTTGAGAGAGGGTAAGTAGAATAATTTGATAGACATTCAAACTCATTTACGTCTCCCTGTTATAAAGATAGCTTTTAATTGGTTACTTAACTTTGCAATTTACTCATTTTTAGCTCACATGACATAAACTAATGAAGGATAATCTACATTTGTTGTGCATTCATCAACTTTTAAAATTCAAGCAGCTTCTTAATTAGCCATGTTCTGATATCTGCCCAGTGTATGTAGTTATCTCAGACAGAATGCCATAAACTTTCCTCAGATGAATGACCTTGACCTAATTTCAAGACCAAAGAGGCCAAATATGTAAAATAAAATCTTAAGGAGCCTCTTTTCAAGTCCGAGAAGGCATGGGGTCATGATATTTTCATAACGAAATGAAATCATATCAGTTTTCCTAAATATTTTAAATCTATAAGATATTTCAAGGTCAAGACTCAAATACATTTGTATTATCAGAGAACATTACCTGAAATTCATATTATCTTGAGTTTTGATGTTTTAATAATTATGTTGTATAGACCTGCAGAGCAAATCTTTTTATAGTAGAGCATGTTCAGGTCAAAGGTTAACTCGGAGTGCTGAGAAGGATCAATGGTTAATTAGGACTACAAATATGACATGAATTGAAAACACTTCTTTGAAACTTCTAAAAGACTCCAGGATCTTCTTATTTTGCCAGCATGTATGAGGGATGAGATGCTATGAAGTTTCTGTGTGAAATGTGCTGAAAACTTTGAGCAACATTTAATCTGGACAGATTATCAAGAGCAATAATTCATGTATATATTGTCTAAACCAGATTTGGCAATATCTTCTATCAGACTGTGTGATAATCTAATTTTGTAGTTTTCCATAAAAGTGAATCAGTTTTGTTGATAAATACAGGGATGTATAATACAGTATTATACGTCCCTGATAAATAGTACTGAGAAAAAACAACTAGAACAATATGTACCCAAACAAGTGGTATTTACCATAATTTTGTGAACTGACCAAATATATTCCCCATGATTCTATAGCATATTAGTATTATTATTTTGTTTACAGCAAAATCACCAAAAATAAACAGAAGATCTTGATGAAGGAACAGAACCAGCTGTTTCTAGACAACCTCAGTAACATGGACAATATCCCGCCTCACATACTACAGTATGCCACACGTAAACAACGCCGCATCCTCAAACAGTGCTCTAAGGCAAAAAACAAGCCACCTTGTAAAGTTGGACAGGTATAAGTAATGCTGTTGTACGTTACAGTTGAAGGAACACATAACTGAAGGAAATGGATGTCTGAGTACCCATAAGATGTCGATTTACAGAAATTGATCTTAAATTTGTCCCTTGAAAATATTAGGAATTCAAAGTTGTGATGTTAAGAAATCTAGGTGATGTGTACTTGATGTTTTGTTATTTACATCATTTTCGTCTTCATTCCCCCGTTGATGGTGCGGTGGAGAATGGGGGAGGGGAGGCAGATTTCACAATTGTCACATATAGCATTGTTAACATTATTATCATATTTTGAGATCCTCTTTACATATTTTAATCAAATTAACTCCATATTATCATAACATCAAGTTCTGGACCAAATCATATTTAAATAGCAATTTGTCAAGGTGAAAGGGTCAAAGGTCACATTTCATAACTTCTGCATAGTCATGAAACAATGATACCTGTATGTATTGGAGTGTGGACTATCATGTCTGAGAGATCTTTTCTAGTTTATAAACATCAATAACAATGTGATATATAAGTAAACAAACTGATTACTGGGAATAGGTGTCCACAGGGATGTCCTCAAAGCTTTAGACATGGCGTCCAGCATGCCAGTACACATTTTGTTCAGTATAAGGTTACTTCTCATTTTGTGAAAATAATATTTTTATGTGTTCTGATGCTTTGCAATATTACTCAAACTTGATCATTCTTAAAATCTGCTGTCGGGACTTGCATGCCTGAAATATTGCTTAAAGTTTTTTCCCTGACTGCAATTTTTTTGTCCGTTTCCTTTTTACTTCTGGTAATATTTGATCTTTTACTCAAAGTTCTTTGTATCTACAGAGATATCAGTGTATCCAAGAGGTAGGGCGTAAGTTACCACGGTTACAGAAGTGTCGTTCAAGGGATTTAACATTGAGTCAGAATATCCAAGGTGACAGCCCATATTCCAATATACCAAGGAAATCATGCAGATGTCCCTCAAGGATGAATGCACAGGAACGTCGAAATCAGGAACAGTTTCTCATGAATCATGTTAATAAAGGTAATATAATGGATTTTTTTATTTTATCTTCATAATTTTTCTCATTTGGCATTTCTCTAACCATAAATCACCATTATAGTAGAGACTTTCTGCTGGTATCTCTTCTGCTTTATACTTTATCTTACTATTATATATCAAATCCCTGATTATATATAGACTAATCAATCTATCAGTATCATTGAAGGTGGCTTTGTTTTTTGTGTGGTCTTGTTCAATTTGTCAAATTTGCTTCCTTGATCATTTATCAAGATTTATGAAAATGACATTTTGTTTGTCTCAAGCTTAAAAATCTTGAAAAATGTTTGATCTTTACTTTTCATAATTTTTGGAAATCAATTTGGTACATTTACAGACTTCACTCCAAAATTCATCAGCAGACGCAAACGACAGCTGCCGTTTGACCTCATGGACACATTTTCCGATGACTTTAATGAACAGTATCCACGTATGTATGATCATTCTTCTGACTCGACGTCAAACCTCTGTATCAACAAATGTTCATTTATTTATAGACACCTTTGATTAATGACATCCTTCTCACAGTACACCTTGGGCTGTCATGTTCGCAGACCAGTTGCATGCTAAGGGATTTGTGAAAGGTCATTGTCAAGGTCATAGGAGGAGAGTAATAGTTATATAATTATAATCACATTTTTGCCAATGATATATCCACACTAATTACTTTATCAACAGTATTTAGAATCATCAGTTTGCACAGTCAGAATTTAGGACAATGATTTTGAAGTCGAAAAAATTGCTAAAATAAAATAACTGCTAAAATGTATGTATTTACAGTAAGTTCAAATATTACACACCTTCCATATAAGGATAATTTGAGATCCAGGATCATTTACATGTAATAATATGCTTTGATCAAGTACTAGCAGTTAAGTTTGTTCAAATGTAGAAAACTTCTTTCAATGTGAATTGGGGCAAATATGTTAAATACTTCCCTCATAATTACTTACATATTAAATGGATTTCAGATTGCATCTATTGTTCAATGTGAAGGCCATCTACATAAATAGTATGACATCTTATTTGTCACTGTGAACTCATATGATTTTGAAAAAATGATAAATGCTCATCTCAAATTTATGTTAATATAAATTTCACACAAATTTACATGAATAAGAATTTCACATAAATTTTTGCGTTAATATGAATTTTACATTCATGTGAATTTCACACATTATATAATCTCTTACCTTTAAGAAGTAATTTTACCTGGTGATATAAATCAGGATGGTTGTGTCAACAGTCAATGATGTAAGATTGTTCCAATTTCAGAGATGGAACGTTTTGAACATCGTTGTCGCCAGTTGCCAAACAACACTATAGTGTGTGACCAAGAGCTGTATAATGATGTGAATGCCTGGAAGGATCATAAAGGGCAGCTGGATGAGATGATACAGGAGTACCGCAAGATGCTCGAGGACCTGAGGGTAGGGAGCCTTCGAATGATCACAGATATTACACACATTTGTGTTTGTGTAAAAAATTGTTTGGAAGATGGTTGCTTTTCTGCAGACTATTGGCATTTCGCTCTATTGATGTTCAAAAATTTTTTTTGTGGTTTTTAACTCACTTGTCCCTTCAGGCATATTGGCATATGGCATATTGTAGCGTTTATCATCCATCTGTCAACTTTTCCTTGTAATCACTACTAGTCATGAACAACTGGGACATTGGATTTTGCCCAAATTTGGTCTGAAGCATTCTTGGGTAAAAGGAAATCAATTTCGTGGAAACAGTGGGTCTTGGCACCCTGGGGCAGGAGGGGCAGGATTAGATAGGAGAAATGGGGAAAAAAATTCTTTAAAATCCTACTCCTCCTGCAGAAATAATCAAATTTTGTTCAAATTTGGTCTGTAGCATTCTTTCGAGAAAGGGAATCAATTTTGTATAAACATTTGTCTCAACATCCAGGGGCAGGAGGGGTATGGCTCAATAAGGGATAGAGCAATTTTTAAAAATCTTATTCCACCTGTAGGAATAATTTGATTTTTTCCAAATCTGGTTGAGTGCATCCTTGGGTGAATGGGACTCAATTTTGTATAAACAATGGATCTTGGTCTCCCTAGGCAGGAGTGATACAGGCCCTATGGACTCTTGTTCTAAATTTTTAAAGTTAATAGGATAAGTTTTCACAATAGACAAATGAGTTAAACCATTTTTCTGTGTAGAGAGGAAGGAAAGGGAGTGGGATAGGTCAGTTGGTAGAGCTAAGAACTTTGCAACCTCAGTTGAAGATCTAAATTGTCCAGTTTGTGTTTCTCAGGTGACTGAGAAACTGACAAATTGGTGCTAACATGGTTGTGGTCCTCTTGTGTGTTGTTCAGTGAAGTAATCGCCATCTGCAGCATGGAACCTCTGCCTCAAAATGACTCCCTCCTTTTTCAAGAGGTCTTAAACCAGCAAACAAAACAAGTAGTTATTATGAAGAAGAGTTTGATTTACTGGCAGCTACTGTTAATCCAAGCAAATTTTCAAATTGATTTTTTTACCCATGATTAACGCTTGTGAACCACTTTACTAAAAAGTTAATTATTTCCAGACTTATCGTAGACACCTGAAGATTGCCAAGCCTAAAGACTCCTACTTGTCTCAGTTTGATGATGATGCGAGTGGTCCTGGTTACCTTGACACTGCTGATGGTTATGATACTTCTGTCCTTCTTGATCCTGACTGTGACTGTGATGATGATTTGACGTAAGTATCTGTACCATTACTGTACAGACGCTCCTGTTTTTCTCAGAAATTATCTTTGGTAGAGTGTTAAGAAATTTAATTTCCTGATATATGATATAAATAAGGTAATTATTTATCACCTCGTATATGGATTCATTTCTTATAATTTTTTATTTTTCAAATCTCTCAATTTGATGTGTTAAGTATCAGACCTATTGCATGTGCCTTTTGTCAGGTGTCATCCATAAGAAATTGACATTTTCTACTTCTTTTCTGAAATCTGTTAAGGAAATTTTACAGACATGTTTCTATGACTTAAGGTGAGGGTCAGGACCAAAAGGGTTCAAATTGATTAAAATTTCAAAAGTCTTCGTCTCAAGACCATGAAATAATTGTTTGTCTTAATGAACCTTTCTACTTGTACTTAATTTGAACTGCAACAGGGACTCCATTCGAGATAAAAGACAACGCAGGAAAGATAAACGGAAAGAAAGAAAAAGAAGGAAATTAAGAAAAAGGAGAAAAAACAAGGATTGCAATAAACCTGACATGAACTGCTTCACTCATGACCACACACACTGGAGAACACCACCACTGTGGGACTGTAAGTAGCTGTCCTAAAGTTATGTACATTTATCCAGGGGAAGTAACTCTAATTCATTAAGGGTCATAAATGCCTACTACACTTTAATAACAATGTACAACAAATTATCTGCTTTGTACTAAGATTTGTTACTTAATAACTAGATTTAAAAATTAATTTCTGATTCCTGAATAGACATGTTTACACACTCCATTTGTTGATCTGCCTTCTCCTCGTTTTTCATTCTTTTCTTTTTTTTTTATTTTGTTGTTCGTCATCAGTGTTTGGATGTTGTAAAATCTGTTAATATCTCAAAAAAGGCCAATCTAATGCTATTGGAAAATCTTACTTTTTTTTAGATTAACTCTTCTTATTTTTCTTATGGACAGCAGTCCATTTATATATATCTAGATATACAATGGGCTTATTACAGCACAAATGATTAGCCATAGCAAGCAATGAATATATTGGTTATATTTACATTTGGCTCCTGTCAAATAAATGTTGAATAGCCTTCAGTAATTTCTTAAAATCAGAAATCTAAAATGACCTTTGTTGAAGCCTTAGATTGTAAATATTGCTTTTCATCCTAAAATCATTTTTGTATGTTTCATCTTTTTTTCTTTCTTTTTTTAGATTAAATTATTCTGTCATATTTATTTTGCCATTAGTCCTACTAGTGGACCAATTTCATTTGACAATAGACTGATATTACTGAACAGCAGGATGTGGGTGGGCTCATTATCAGACATGGTCTTGCTGTGGGTAAATACAAGAGTGACCTGCTTCCAAAGTTCATATATTTAGGGAACTTAGACTAAATATAAAACATCGGTGACTTCACCATGTATGTATTTAACACTGGAAGTATGTCATCACCTTGTTAAGAGATTTGTCATTCTAACTGAGAAGGATCTAACTTGTCTGGGGAAAAAATGCTGTCAAATGAAAGTCAGCTATCGTGATGGGAAAAGAAATAATTTTCTCTTGTTTCGATATTTAGAATAGTTGCACTGTTTATATTTGTAACAAAGTAATTAGAAGAAATGCACTTTTAGCTCTATTAACCACAAATTTTTGAGGGGATAGATGTTAGAATTTTTGTGTAATTTTGTCTTACAAAGTTTTCAATAAAAATACCATTGTTAACGTTAGAACTTGGTAATTTTTTTCTCTATTTTTTTCTAAATTCTACATTTTTCCCTTGTGGCATTTTCGCTGTCCTTGTCCGCTAACTGCAAACTATTACAGTATATTCTGATAATCAATTTTCAAAGAATTATATGAAAGCACTACATCATATTACATATGTATTTATGTTGTTTCGGATAGAAGGCAAACTTCTTATCGAGTTTTCCACATTGTATCTTTGTTCCTCAGTAATATTGAAGAATTTCATACATTAGCGTTATACCATGTTCTTTCTGAAAATTGCCTATCCCATAATCTTAGAACCAAAAAGCTGAAAAATAGTTGCTATTAATCGGCTACAAGGACTTTGTATAGCTTCTTATTGTTCTCAACAGAGTATTTATCCCAAACTAACAGACAAATGGAGTTGAGATATTGTCCTTTTTAACTGCTGGTATTATCTCAACTGTAAATGAAGCTCCCATTTTACTCATCGAGACAAATCCAGGGTTTCTTATAACCTTAACTGCAGTTGTGCACAGCATTGTCTGTCAACATAACATCTTTTCATTCCTGACACATGCACATTTTACACTGAACAGGTAGATCAAGGGATGAAATTTCTCAAATTCAGATATAATGTTGACAAATGTTTGCAATATCATCACATGCAACTGAAGCTGAGGCAATTTTTAGAAAGAATATGATAGAAATGCTATGAATGACCACAAACAAAATTGGAAAATATTCTGCCACATTTTTATGCACAGAGTTATTTCCCTTTGTTGAAACCTCTCTAACCCAAAAGATTTTTTCTCCTTTGGTTTTGTCAACATTTATATTAGCACGCACATGGAATCTGCCACCTAACACAAAAATGCGCCGAATGAACCATCCTGCTTGCAAGCGAGGTCGAATGGAGTGTTACCTTATGGACGACACTCACTGGAAAACTCCACCCCTTTGGACTTGTAAGATCTATGTCCCATGATATCAAGGTCACCTAGTGGAGAGCTCATTAGATATTCAAGGTGACCCAAATGGAATAAGGGTGAAATTAAGAAGAAAAATTCAATGAATCAAAGGGACATAACTCCAGTATTTTCTGCTTTCTGTTTGTGTTTGGCATTTAAGTGCAATTTTGGGTTTAGGCTTATGTTTTTAAATTTTCACATTTGTGCCTTTATAATGCTGCAAAGTTTTATTTACAAAGTTTTGCTTAATGTTTCTGGATAACTAATTGAAAGTGGTCAGATGTGATTCACACTGTAATTACCTCATCACATAGAGGTAATTACAGTGTCTTTATGTTGAACTTTGAACCCTGATCCTTTGAGTGATTTTGAACTTTTTGATAAAAAAAATCCATTGCCGTTTATAATGGGTAAGGAATTTTTTTTATCAAAATCCATTAATTAAGTTGTAATCATTATCTCTCATTTTTGAAGAGCAATATAAATAATTACAATGGAGTTGGATGTGCATTAAAAAGATAATATGATCACATGTGAAAGTAAAAATAAGCTATAAGTATTGGTATTTATGATAGTCCTGATGTTTGTTTTGCATTTTGCTCCATTTCCTGTTGAGAAAATGAGAGATATGTTAGACTGTGTGGGAGCCTACCATCTGAAGGGAAAGGGTTTAAATTGCCACATCCAGGATATTATACACTGTAGTTAAAGTCTGCATCATTGTAAGCAGGCTAGAATAGTTTCATAATCCACTTTTATACTTCTAAATCAAACATTGCTGTTAAGGAAATAACTCATTGTGGTTTCCTTTCTATGGTGCGCTACCATACATTTAAGTAAGGTTTGAGTTCTCTCCCCTTTCTGGGTGTTGAACACAGCTTCCTTTGTTATTATACCCTAATAGCAGCAAAGTGGAATCTACCGCCGTATGAAAAAATCCGCCGCAAGAAACACCCTGCCTGCAAGCGGGGAGAAATGGACTGTGCCCTCATGGACAACTCCCATTGGAAAACTGCTCCCCTCTGGACTAGTAAGCCAGGCCTTCAATCCCTGACCTTTTACCTCTCACATTTCACCACTGACCTGTTTAAGGCTGTCGCTAGTTAGAGCTTACTGGTTTTAAATTCATAGTCACTTCAACTTCAATGTATTCAATATTATTGATGTTGTAAGTTTTAGATTCAGATTAAAGAGTAATATAAACCATATTACAGCTATATCAAAAAGGCATTTGCTTCAGCTTTACCTCAAATCCTTTGGAAATTTGAATCTAGCAAATCACTACACCTACAGTAAGGGAGTTAACATTCTTGAATGTGTTTTACAAATTCAAAAATGTCTGTAACTACAAAAATGTAAGGTTAAAGTTCATATCTGTTTGGGATGAGTATCACAAATGTTTGTGTGAAACAATAATATTAACTTTTTGGCTTCTGAAGCCATGTATTATACATGGAAAATCTTATTGTTTTGGAGTTATCTCCCTTCAGCTGTATGTATATACTGTTCAATACTTGCTTTTTCGCTTCTTGAATCTTAATTTTAGTTGCAAAGTCTTCTTGCTGATACTACATGTGTGCACAAAGTCTTGAATTCTTAACTCTTTTTAGTAATGCATGTGAGCAAACTTATTAATATGCTGACAAGTGACTCACACGTATATACATATTTAAATATTGCTAAAATTTTGCCTTCTTTACCCATGGTAACAAGATTGTGGTTTTAATCTTATTTATGAAAGGATGAATTAACACATGACTTGGCCAAATGGCAAAACTTTGGCATATTACCTTATTTATTTGATATTATTTAGCATCCTGTGGGATCTGATGAGCTGTTCACAATATGCCTTGCTTCCTATATTGTGCTGTATTTACCTAGTCTGAAGACATTTGTTTTATCCCTACTCTAACTGCCAGTGTTGGCCATCAGCAACTATATGGAATAGGAAATCTATTTATATGATACTTTTTAACATATTGACTAAGCAACTGTAAATTTTATTATCAAAAACATCAAGAAAGTTTAATCATATATTTTTTTTCTGTATACCTCTGCATCCATCCTCATTGAATTTGTTGAGAACCAATTTCAATTAAATTTTCTTACCAACCTCATAAACCTGCTTATGTTGGACTTTGTGTCCAACAACCATGATGTTTTCATTGCCTCTAAGTGAGTTGTGTCCCTTGGTTTACCTGCTATCATCATGTTATATCTTCTCAATTATTTGTGAATTAAAAAAACTGCACTGATCATAATTCTACATGTTAAATCTTCTTATAGTTCTAAGTAATTCTCCAAGCAGATGAAATGTGATACACTAGTTTAGGGACTATTTAAAACCATTGATATTCGTATAAGCTCACCATCAGTAGATGGTGCTGGGGTTATTGAAATCACCTTACATCTGTTGTCTGTCATCTGTCCATAAATAAACAATATTGTGATTGCTTCTCCTGTAGTACGGGGTGGATTGTTCTCAAATTTCTTTTATAGAATCTGCTTGTGTTCATCTGAGTTTTAGATAGATCAGAAAAGAAATTTTTAAAAAATGGCTGATAGGCAGCCATCATGGATTTTGACAATGAAAGTTTGTCATTACTATTTCAAGAGAAGGACTGATTGGATCTTCCTCAAATTTCATTTGTAGATTGCCTTTGGTCCCTGATCATGCCATTCTTATTTTGGGACTGATCAGAAAAACAAAATGACTGACAGGTGGCAATCTTTAAATTGTTAGTTAAACATTGAGACCTAATGTTGCTATTTTTAAGAGGAATGTTCAAATTTCATATAATTTAGACTAAAAACAGGGAAGAGAACAGAAAAGATGGGAAAGAGTGTTAAAGATCAAAGAATGATGGGCGCTAAGATCCCTGTGGTAAAGTTCAGCTATAGGTTTTACAAACAATTGGAATGGTTATCTCAATGCTATTAGTTAAGAACCTTTTCCAAAAATAAAAAAAAAAAAAAAAACCAAATGGAGATTTTTTGTTTGCATAGTAATCTCCTTAAATCTATACAAAAGCTTGAATTTTTTTCAGACATAAAATGATATAGATTTGTACAAAGTAAACCAAATTACACTTTCATTTCTGTTTAATGGAAATTAAGGTCAAAGTATAAAAACATGTCTCTTTTCCAGATGGACCTTTCTGCTACTGCACTAACTCCAACAACAACACCTACTGGTGTCTGAGAACAATTAATCAGACACATGACCTGCTGTACTGCGAGTTTATCAACAACTTTATCAGCTATTATGATCTGTTATCAGACCCTTTCCAGGTACAGTTACAACTTTAAGTAGATGAAATATAACTGTTGATAAAATCATTGTCCATCCCTCTTATAAGTCTCGTATTAAAAAGTGGGAGGGGGGGGATATGATTCAGGATATCTTACTGCATATACAGAATTATAATTCAGTTGTTATTGATCAAAACATAAATGAATGTATAAGAATAATTGTTTTAACTGAGAATCAATCTTGAGAAATGATCATTTTTAACAAAACCGTAATTTTAATTTTTTTGTTATTGTTATTAAATATATATACAGTGTCATATATATATGTGTATATTTTTCAAAATTGATAAACACAAACCTTGGCCATTAATGAATAGCAACACTTGCCATTTAACTAGCAATATTAAACATTTGATAGAACTATTTACAACAATGAAACCATTGTCTTACAGGAGGTTAATGCTATCCATGATGTAAATTATGGTGTTCTTCAACAACTCCATGACCAGCTTAACGAAATGAGGGCGTGTAAAGGACACCGAGAATGTGACAAGGCTGGCACACGTAAGTACATTGTGCCTGTCAAGTCTCCAGTTTACTTCAATTTAGTTCAGTATTTAGCAATTGACTTTGTAAAATTGTGATCCCAGACTTAAGATTTTTGATAGGAATGAAGTTTATTATTTTCATTAAGTAAATGATGTTGATTACAGTACATAAGGATGTAATATTATAGATGTTTTAACACAAACTTGATTGAATTTGAGTAACATGACTAACAGTCTCAAGTTAGTGGAAAAGATTCTCACCAAACTGCCTCTCTCACGTTTTCTAGTTTTGACCCCTTAACAGGTATGTTATATCAGAGACTTATATAACACTAGGCTAGTTTCCTATCTCTGTGTTATATACGTCTCTGGTTATATGCAAAATAACAGATAAATTTATCAACTTTATCATGCTTTTATATAACATTTTACAATATACATAATGTATTTAATTGATAGTAGTGTTATGTATAAGTGACTGTCCGTATATACAGGTGAATGTCAGGTTTCATGTAGTGCCTTTATACACTAGTGTATGTAAATTTCCACCTGTTATAATGGTAGGTCTGAACTTTTGTCCTTTGTAATACTTTTGTTCTAAAGTCTGTTGTCTTCAATCCTTCATTTTCGTTATATCTGTCAAGCACCTTGTCATCACTGTAGTGGCCATTCTTTAATTAACGATGATGACATGTTCAAGGTAGTTGTTTAGAGGATTTGATATTTTTATCTTTTTTAAAAAAGACGCCTTGAAAATAACTTTACTGTAAATAATGTGTCTTGTTTGGTCCTAAACTTTTTGTGGTTTTTCAAGAAAGTGCATTCTTTTTTTTCGCTTACTCAGTCTCATGGATAAATTGTTTTCTGTTTGTGCTGAAACGTCATGTCAAATTAAATCTGATTACAATTTACTGGAATTACAAATCTTGATCACAAAATCCACCATTACTAAAATCTAGGTCAATTTACATCTCTTTTACGTTCCATGGAAATTTATTTATCCTACTTATTTAAAACCATTCCAGCCATATGAATTCAGGGAAAGCACACACAGAATCAATGAAATAACAAAACCCCATCAAAAATTGATGATTTGACAAAAGTCTGTTTGTGCACAATTTTCCTCCAGCCACAAAAAATACACTGGGACAAACAGACCATATACTGTTTCTTTAATTTCTTTTTTTTTCTTTAAATTTGTGATATCATCATCACCATACCATCGTCATCATCATCATCATCAATTTCCATGTCATATCCTTAAACAACACCACAGTTTGATAATAAAAGCTTTGTACATGGATATTTTTCTATTTGTTGTTTAGTGAAGGAAAGAAGAAACAGGGATAATTTTGATTATGATTTTAACGATGAGGAACTTGAGGACTACATTGACAGTGGAAAAACAGATTTCAGCTGATCCTGGAAGTAAAATGTGTGAGTGGATAGTCTCTTGCAAAAACTTCATAGTCGAAGAAACACTATAGCAATGAAAGAGATGAAAAGATGAAAAATAAATATTCAAAATAGAAGGATTTATAGGATTTCTTCGAAAGGCTGTACATACAAAGACAAATTCATGTTCACACTGGAAGTGAATGCTTCAGTGATTTGATAAGAGGAGAAGTCATCATTTATAGTTGTGAGCATGTAAAACTGCAACAATGAGGAACATTAAAGCCATTATGGTTTGACTTGTCAGTGACAGTCAATGTTGTGATGCCTAATATACAGTGATCATGGTGAAGAACTCTTTTGTACCAGGAAAGCAGTTTTGGTGTAAGGAAAGCTGCCATGCTTGATTCCTCATCTATTAATATTATGATGCCAGGAAATTAAAGCATTCAACATTGTTCTGATGGAAAATGGTTGAAAAAATAATTCCATGAAGAATGTCCCAATTTTCATGCCAAGATGTAGTATGTAGTTTGTGTTTTAGTGTGAGAAAAACCATTGAATTGTAGACATGTCTTCATATGCATATGGAGTTTATGCACTTGTTGTAGAGGAGAAGTTGGTGAAGAAAATCGTGGATTTGTCTTTGTTATTTTTACTGTATATAGAAGCTGGCATACGTTTGTACTGCTGAGACTATCAGAGTTATTCTAGGATGAAAGGACATCATCGTTGATGATATCGATAAAGAACATCTTGAATATGGAAAGTATTTTTAAAATAATGCCATGTTCTCTGATAATTAAAAAAAGGATTTAGTTCAGTATTTGAAGAAGTCTGTCTTGCCAAGTCTGTGTTTGAGTGGAAAAGAGACGCCATATAAAAAACTAAACATTGTGATTTGGTGATAAAACTTATACATAATTAACACCATATTGTAGGCTTGTTAATGTGACTGTTGCTTGATGTATAGAGAATTGTATTGTCACATTTTGATGTAATGCTGCTGATGCTCTATATATATATATAGGACAAATTCACAAGCTAGTTTTTATTGTTGTACTTCGTATAGAAAGCTAATGTCATGGTGGCGTCATAAAACAAGTAGGGCAAAATCAGATTTTTCTAAAGGCAATAGTACAATAGTACACCCATGTCTTGCCAATAGGTTTTGCTGTAGAAAGAATCCTGAATAAATGGTGTGTTATGATGTCACTTTTTATGTTAAGAAATAAATTTTAATGTTTGGTGGGCTATTATGTTGAGAGCGATGTAGTGATACCAAACTATAGAAATGTTGCATTTAGAATTAATCTGAATTGGTGTACATATCCATGTATTAGGCAGGGAGACAACATAAATATCTATTTTTATACTATTCCTTACTCAAAATCTACATGGTTTTGTAATAATTGTATTCTCGCACTTTTTCGCTGAAGGTTTTTCTGCTAACATATGTTTGCAATAATTACAGTTTCTGTCAGTTGTTTATTCATCCTGGCACAAATTTAATAAATAGTGATATTGCACTAAAATTTTATTTGACAAATTAAGTATGTTTAGAGTGCACCAAAAGTTACCTGTAGTGAGGGAAACATGACAAAAACGTGCCAAATACACCTCATCATGAAAAAACCAATGTTACCTACAAAGTATTTATGATTTTTGTCGTTAATTACAAAGATATTTAATGACCTTCTGTATACTAATTTGTATCGATGATTAACCCCTGTCTGAGTCCATTTCAGATTTGAATACCAATTTTGATTTTGGCTAAATGCAAAATCTCTAGTTATTGAATGTGAATTTGTTCATATTACAATTTCCTAATTCGCCTATCAGCTCTTCAAGTATTTTAATTAGTTTGTTTTATATCATAATCTACCATTTGCTCCCATCAATATCACAATTTGTCGTAGTTTCAAAAAAGAAAAAAATACAGGATTTTTATGCCGTCTTCATTTTAAGAACTAGCCTTGATAAGGTAACAAGAAGATTGATTTGCCTTTTGAATAGAGATATTTAAGTTATATAATACCATTGAGATATTTATAGTATTTTTTTTCTGATAATAGCACATGATGCTTAATATCACATATTAGATACATGATTGTAAGAAGAATGAATGTTCATTTACTTGATTTCTCAGATATCCTCATTTCAAATTTGTCATATTGAAAAACAATTTGAAAATATGTATGATACTAGTGTAGCACTTCCACTGATGTTCTGTTCAAGAAATCCTGTTAAGAAGAGTCTGATGTCATGGTTACACTCACTTGATATAGAGCCTGCTGTCATGGCCAGCTTTCTTCAAGAGGAAATTGTTGTCAAGACCAGGCCCTCTTCAGGACGAGTCTGTTGTCAGGGCTACACCCTCTTCAGGAGGAGCCTGTTGTCAGGGCTACACCCTCTTCAGGAGGAGTCTGTTGTCAAGGCTACACCCTTTCAGGAGGAACCTGTTGTCAGGACTACACCCTCTTCAGGAGGAGTCTGTTGTCAGTGTGACACCCTTTCAGGAGGAACCTGTTGTCAGGACTACACCCTCTTCAGGAGGAGCCTGTTGTCAGGGCTACACCCTTTCAGGAGGAGTCTGTTGTCAGGGCTACACCCTCTTCAGGAGGAGCCTGTTGTCAGGGCTACACCCTCTTCAGGAGGAACCTGTTGTCAGGACTACACCCTCTTCAGGAGGAGTCTGTTGTCAGTGTGACACCCTTTAAGGAGGAGCCTGTTGTCAGGGCTACACCCTTTAAGGAGGAGCCTGTTGTCAGGGCTACACCCTCTTCAGGAGGAGTCTGTTGTCAGGGCTACACCCTCTTCAGGAGGAGTCTGTTGTCAGGGCTACATCCTCTTCAGGAGAAGCTCATTGTCAGGCCTACACCACTTTCAGGAAAAGCTTGTTGTCAGGGCTACACCCCTTTCAGGAGGAGCCTGTTGTCAGGGCTACACCCTTTCAGGAGAAACCTGTTGTCAGGACTACACCCTCTTCAGGAGGAGCCTGTTGTCAGGGCTACACCCTCTTCAGGAGGAACCTGTTGTCAGGACTACACCCTCTTCAGGAGGAGTCTGTTGTCAGTGTGACACCCTTTAAGGAGGAGCCTGTTGTCAGGGCTACACCCTTTAAGGAGGAGCCTGTTGTCAGGGCTACACCCTCTTCAGGAGGAGTCTGTTGTCAGGGCTACACCCTCTTCAGGAGGAGTCTGTTGTCAGGGCTACACCCTCTTCAGGAGGAGTCTGTTGTCAGGGCTACACCCTCTTCAGGAGAAGCTCATTGTCAGGCCTACACCCTCTTCAGGAGTCTGTTGTCAGGGCTACACCCTCTTTAGGAGAAGCTCATTGTCAGGCCTACACCACTTTCAGGAAAAGCTTGTTGTCAGGGCTACACCCTTTCAGGAGAAACCTGTTGTCAGTGCTACACCTCTTTCAGGAGGAGCCTGACCACGACCTCCTCAAGTGGAATCTAATGTCAGGGCCACACTCTGATAAGGTTTTAAGGGGAAAAAAACATCCCATGATGCAACTGTGAATAAACAAGATTAATTGATGTTTCCAAAAGTCTGGGATGTATTAGTATTAAGATTGTTAAAGTGAGTAAGTTATAGAGAGTGAACTCTCTGAGGCCAGTAAAAAGAGGTATTTACAAGTTACTGATAGCTTGTGAGATCAAAGACATTACCCAGGGTAATCCATTTATATTTGTCCACATAATTAATTCATAATTGTTTGGTAATATATTTGTGGGGGTTGTCCGTTTGTATTTTAAAGCTGGTTAATTTGTATTTGTCACAGTAATCAACTGTAAATTTTTTGAAAGGGTTGTTATTTCCTGTTCATCATCGTAGTTTATATGTATTTGTCCTGGTAATATTTATGTTTGTAGATACATGTGGTATGAATTTTTCACCAAATCTGATCACTTTAAACAATTGAGAACTCCTGTGATATACTTTTATGTACAATTTTTTTATCTTTTTTTTTTAAGTTTGGTGCTTTGTAGGATCTTATATGTGTTTTCATTGCCTAGTAATAACAGCTGTATGTGCCTACTTGTAGCATAATCACACAGTACATGGAATTTATTTTCGTATTGTATCATCTGAAAATTTTGATGAGTTTCATGTAATGTGTCCAGTGTTAAAATGATAGAATTTCAGCTAAAGTTGATGATTCAAATCATAGTGATAGATCTCCATCAGCAAGATGTTTGACCCGGAGCACTGATTTAGTAAACAAATGGAAAATTGATTCAGATAGCATACTGCCATTACAGTTAGTAGATTACATAGTTTTACCATTTTATAAATAAAAATATAGATAAATGAAATAATATATCAAATATCAACAATATTTTTATTACATTCTTAATGACCCATCAACACATAAGTCATTAGGGCCATCAAACGGTAGAACACACAGCGATCCAAAAGGAAATCACATTAAACAAACCAGATTGTAAAAGACAAATGTTTAAAATCTTAAATGGGTATATCAACACAAAAGATTAAAATGGTACATCATTGTCTATTATAAAGACCAACATCTTTCAGGTAACCTAGAATTTTACAAATCTCAATAGTTTCAAAAAGGGATTTTAGACTTGTAATGTTGCAATAAAAACATTCTCGAGTACACAAATGGAAATATGCAGTGTAATAGATTAACTTTATTTGTGTTACATTTTTAGTATACTGGGTACTTCAAAGCTAAGTTGACAGAAACAGAACGATGTTATTGGTCATTAGAAATTCACAACAATGATTAACTTTTGTAAAACTTTGAAGTTCTAAAGAGCATTCCTGAGGCGGGAGGGTTGCAGGGGACTGCTTTTTAAAAATTATATGTTTCAAATTTAGACACTGTATGTTTTACAGTCCTGTGGATATTTTGAATATATATGTATCTTTGTTACCCAGATCCTGAAATCCAAGAATTATGATATGGGTGATATTTTATTTTTGGGTATTTTTAATCTGTGCACATCCATTCAAGTAGATCTGTTTCCTTTGCTGTCAGAGGCTACATACTTAGTTAGATGTAAATATTATACAAGTATGTTACCTTGTACTCCACAGTTTCTACAAATTTTCATTAATCCCGCACACACTGGGTATGCTGCCACTGATAGTATCATCCAAGTAAATGGTGCCATGTTTTAGGTCTGTCATCTGTAGCTGATAAATAGTCTGCTCTTTAAGAACAAATCACATTGACCTACTGTTATCTGTCTTTGACAAATACTAGTATGATGATTTCATAATCACATCGACCTACTGTTGTCTGTCTTTGACAAATATGATGATTTCATAATCACATCGACCTAATGTTATCTGTCTTTGACAAATATGATGATTTCATAATCACATCGACCTACTGTTATCTGTCTTTGACAAATATGATGATTTCATAATCACACAGACCTACTGTTATCTGTCTTTGACAAATATGATGATTTCATAATCACATCGACCTACTGTTGTCTGTCTTTGACAAATATGATGATTTCATAATCACATCGACCTTCTGTTGTCTGTCTTTGACAAATATGATGATTTCATAATCACACAGACCTACTGTTATCTGTCTTTGACAAATATGATGATTTCATGATACCGTATTTCTTGGACCCTGTGACTTTATTGTTGCACTGAATTTTGATATTTAGTGGTAATTGATACTTAACTAATGACATGCATGTGCAACATTGAATTACCTGGATCCAGAAATCCAGATCAGTTTTGTTAATTCTGCTTTATAAGAGAGAAGGTATTATTATTTAACACTCCTGTTATTTGTGCATTCCCCTATCATGTTTTAACATGAGACAATTCTGTATTTATTTATTACACTGAATGACACAGTGTCTTAACATGGAAACCAATATTTGTTATACTATTTCAAGAAAAAAAAATTCCATTTTTAGATTAGGAAACATGAAATAAAAGCATATTTTGGGATTAAATACGATTTTGTTACCTTCTTCATTCCGCGGCAGTCTTAATAACTTTTCAAGTTCTCTCTAGGCTGAATTATTAAGACTATATTAAACCTCTGTTATGCTGAACAATCTTTTGCCAGCCTCAAAGCCAAGCTTTAGACTACATCAAACCTGTACTGTCCTGAACCATGTTTCACCATCATTGCTACACTCCCAAGCTCTACTTTGATGTCTTTGCCAGGTAGTCTTGAGCTACCTTTCTCTCCTCACAATACATGTTCATGCTGTGTAGAAGTAGAACTGCTAAGGAGGGATGACATCATCAACACAGCAGTTCAATGATTATACATCTAACCACACGTTGTAACGGCAGAATTTAATCTGAAGTCAAGGTTTGTGCTTGTATTTCTGTACAGAGACATTTGTCTGATTCAAAGCTATTTGTACCTTTTATGAAACATTTTATCTATTTCAGCATTTTTCACATTTTTGATAGGATTTTTTTAAAGTTACGTGCATGCTATTTGTGTAGTTTTCCTGCTATTTAAACCGAATATTTATGACTTTTTCATTTATAACAGTTTTACCTTGTGTTATTTTTATGTTGTACAATTATAGGTAGAGGTAATTCTTTAAACATCGCTGTCACAAGTACAAAAGTCCAGGCTCCAAGGTCATGAATATACATTAATTTTACATAAATCAATCATAAACGAAGTTATTTTGTGACATTATTTGTGATTGGCATATTAAAAATTTCAGACAGTTTTTCACCTATGATCGTTTCGTGATCCTGGAGTTTGATGCTATAATTCACTCTACAAAAATGGCCAGCATATATTAGGGCCTCTATACCAAGTGCCAACAATGTTTTTATTTTCACTTTTGATTTATGTGAAATTTTTTGTTTTCCACTTTTTTTAAATGATGTTTTCCCTTCTAACTTACATTTTCACGGAATATTTTAACATTTTTTTTATATGATGATCGTCGTGAAATATCAGGAAATTTTCTGATGTATGAAATCATTTTAGCATGTTTTTTTTTGTAATAGATTAAAAATTGGATTTTGCCACTGATAGATAAGACAGAGTAAGATGTGTAACCTTATTCAGTGGACAGGGTCTCTGTAATTTAATCAATATTTGAAGAACAAATACATTATACCATATAGAAATATACAGGATCTTCTGAGTTTCTATTTAATATGTAAATTTATGAATATTTTACGTAAATTACTTATTAAAATCCATTTTACCACACAATAGATAATTCTGGTATAAGTCAATACAAAATGGAAGTTTGTTACGTCACAATACAAAATGGGAGTTTGATACGTCACAATACAAAATGGGAGTTTGTTACGTCACAATACAAAATGGGAGTTTGTTACGTCACAATACTAAATGAGAGTTTGTTACGTCACAATACAAAATGGGAGTTTGTTACGTCACAATACTAAATGGGAGTTTGTTACGTCACAATACTAAATGGGAGTTTGTCACAATACACGTCACAATACAAAATGGGAGTTTGTTACGTCACAATACAAAATGGGAGTTTGTTACGTCACAATACAAAATGGGAGTTTGTTACGTCACAATACAAAATGGGAGTTTGTTACGTCACAATACAAAATGGGAGTTTGTTACGTCACAATACTAAATGGGAGTTTGTTACGTCACAATACAAAATGGGAATCACAATACTAAATGGGAGTTTGTCACGTCACAATACTAAATGGGAGTTTGTCACGTCACAATACTAAATGGGAGTTTGTTACGTCACAATACTAAATGGGAGTTTGTTACGTCACAATACTAAATGGGAGTTTGATACGTCACAATACAAAATGGGAGTTTGTTACGTCACAATACAAAATGGGAGTTTGTTACGTCACAATACAAAATGGGAGTTTGTTACGTCACAATACAAAATGGGAGTTTGTTACGTCACAATACAAAATGGGAGTTTGTTACGTCACAATACAAAATGGGAGTTTGTTACGTCACAATACAAAATGAGAGTTTGTTACGTCACAATACAAAATGGGAGTTTGTTACATCACAATACAAAATGGGAGTTTGTTAGGTCACAATACTAAATGGGAGTTTGTTACATCACAATACAAAATGGGAGTTTGTTACGTCACAATACAAAATGGGAGTTTGTTACGTCACAATACTAAATGGGAGTTTGTTACGTCACAATACAAAATGAGAGTTTGTTACGTCACAATACTAAATGGGAGTTTGTCACGTCACAATACTAAATAGGGAGTTTGTCACGTCACAATACTAAATGGGAGTTTGTTACGTCACAATACTAAATGGGAGTTTGTTACGTCACAATACTAAATGGGAGTTTGTTACGTCACAATACAAAATGGGAGTTTGTTAGGTCACAATACTAAATGGGAGTTTGATACGTCACAATACTAAATGGGAGTTTGTTACGTCACAATACAAAATGGGAGTTTGTTACGTCACAATACTAAATGGGAGTTTGTTACGTCACAATACAAAATGGGAGTGTAGAAATTCATGACCCATCATTACAATAACGCTTATATGTTACACCGGTGTGATAGTTTGATATATAGGTTTAGTGACTGAATTATAAGGTTATAAATGTGATTGAGTATAATCATTGACGTAAACAGTCCTTCAGCTATCAGGTCAAGTGAGGATTAAATGTAGACCTATTCATTCACTTACGCGATGCTATTGCTTTCAGGACTTGAATCATTCTTGCTAATGACAACTGGACCATGCCACCATGATTTCATTCTCCTATCATTTCATTATTGAGTCTACTGTAAGAAAGCATTGCTACATCTAGACATGACTGCTTGTGACACTGATGTCAAGTTTGATGTTTTCTACTGATGGTTTCATGTATTTGTCTTGAGTAAAACAAGTTTATGTTGTCATCACTCTGTGTTTAGTACAGTGTGTCAATCAAAATGGTCAACTTTTGTAGACGCATACACTGTGGATGTTTATACAAAGTGGTTGTTCTATACTGTGGAAAGATATCACCAGTTTTGTTATAGAAGTTGAAAGTTAAAGAGAAACTTGTCCAGTATATGTTTATGCTCAGCAATATAAAGACAACAAAATAGCCGTCTGTTGTGTAAAGACAACAAAATAGCCGTCGGTAGTGTAAAGACAACAAAATAGCCGTCGGTAGTGTAAAGACAACAAAATAACCGCCTGTAGTGTAAAGACAACAAAATAGCCGTCTGTTGTGTAAAGACAACAAAATAGCCGTCGGTAGTGTAAAGACAACAAAATAACCGCCTGTAGTGTAAAGACAACAAAATAGCCGTCTGTGTAAAGACAACAAAATGTGTAAAGACAACAAAATAACCGTCTGTAGTGTAAAGACAACAAAATAGCCGTCTGTTGTGTAAAGACAACAAAATAACCGTCGGTAGTGTAAAGACAACAAAATAACCGTCTGTAGTGTAAAGACAACAACATAACCGTCTGTAGTGTAAAGACAACAAAATAGCCGTCTGTTGTGTAAAGACAACAAAATAACCGTCGGTAGTGTAAAGTACCGTCTGTAGTGTAAAGACAACAAAATAATCGTCTGTTGTGTAAACACAACAAAATAACCGTCGGTAGTGTAAAGACAACAACATAACCGTCTGTAGTGTAAAGACAACAAAATAGCCGTCGGTAGTGTAAAGACAACAAAATAACCGTCTGTAGTGTAAAGACAACAAAATAATCGTCTGTTGTGTAAACACAACAAAATAACCGTCGGTAAAGACAACAACATAACCGCCTGTAGTGTAAAGACAACAAAATAGCCGTCTGTTGTGTAAAGACAACAAAATAGCCGTCGGTAGTGTAAAGACAACAAAATAACCGCCTGTAGTGTAAAGACAACAACATAACCGTCTGTAGTGTAAAGACAACAAAATAATCGTCTGTTGTGTAAACACAACAAAATAACCGTCGGTAGTGTAAAGACAACAAAATAACCGTCTGTTGTGTAAACACAACAAAATAGCCGTCGGTAGTGTAAACACAACAAAATAACCGTCTGTTGTGTAAACACAACAAAATAACCGTCGGTAGTGTAAACACAACAAAATAACCGTCGGTAGTGTAAGGACAACAAAATAGCTTTTCTAAATTTCAGATCTTGTGAAGAATATGATAGTCTGTATCTGTGAGTCGTTGAATGTGATATTCCTGGCGGCTAGAACTATTCTACTAAACATAGGGCATCTAATAAGTGCATTTAATTTAGTTTCTCATGATGAAGTTATAACAAGTTTTATTATTAGTACAGATTTAGTTCATCCTTCAGAAGTGGTTTTGTGAGAGAGTCCATGTAATCAATTTTGATAATTTTGAAATAATCCTGAAAGTGATATGTGATTGTTATCTGTGCCCAGTCAACTGTGAAGGATTAACATGGTTTAATAACTGGAACAGAATGTCAGCTAGTTACAGTATGATCACAAAGAAATTTCTGATATTACAGTAGACGATATTACACATTTGATACAGCAGTTAACATAAATAAGTATTAACATCACAGTTTAACTTTTCACAAAATTCAGTATGAAAATGATTTGGAATTTTAATCAAAGTCCCAGATGATTTTGTGAAACATATTGTTTTCGGTATATATAAAGTTGTATTAATGAATTATTTGTGTATGCGCTTTTATAATAACCATTTTTGCGATTTATTTTTGTGTACTTACTTTGAAAAGTAATTAATGTTCGTACATTTGGTATATTGACATCGTGAACCAGTTTGGTGCTAGGTAAAAGAAAAATAGTTTTCTTTTTTTAATTCCTAACTTTTTTCGTCATTTAAAGTCGTTCTTGCCTCTGAAATAGCCTGGCTGTATCAGGATAAACTGTTTCGAATCAGAATTTATTTGCAAAGTGGGGAAACAAAGAAATACTTAATGAAATGTCATGATTTGATGCAGAAATTTCTGAGAAGTTCTATTTTGATATAAACTGATCATGTTTGACCAGATACTAATGTTCAGTTATCTAATAGACTTTACTGTTTGGATATAGCATGTTGAGTTTGATTTCACAAATTAATCCGTAAGGATATCAGTTGTATAAATATATTTGTATTCTTAATCATTTTTGTGAATTTACAAACTACATCGTACTCGAAGTGTGGGTAAATTTCAGTAAGTGTGAGTGAAGTGAAACTGTCATTGTTAGCATTAACGTAACTATGTAGTCAGTAAAACGTTTGTTTTGATGAAAACTACATTAAATCATTATCACTCTGCCTGGTGGTTTGTGTTATTTATTATCAAAAAGTCATTGATATATTTGAGACTACAACAGCAGTCGGAATGTGGAATCAACAGCAGACGAATTTGTGGTCTTTATCACACATGAGACTGAAATTACTTACGGTGACTTTTTGATATCTTCTCTTAATCAATATACAAAACTAGCTGACAAAGAATGTTTGCTTCTGATACAGAGAATTAATGGTTTCATGTACATTGTTTAGCGAAATGACGGGATATGAACAGAAAAAATGTTAAAAAGGAGACTTCTGAAACAGTACAAGAATGAAGCTAGGTGTTCCGGAGAGATCAGCGTCTTCTGTTTCATCGACAACTCTCGACATATAGATAAAGATAACAATTATGGTAATCCTGTGTATACTTATAAACATTAGATACGCTCAACTTCACAGCACATGCAATACCATAATCATAGAAAAAAGGGCTGTATAGTCTCGGGTTTGTAAGAAATCAAGATAGTTTATACGATAGAAGCAGACGAAGAATTCGGGGTCCCGTGTCTAAATCATAAAATACCAAAGAATCTGAAGGCTAGCGTTTCAATAGAGAAAGCGGACAGAATTTATGGTATCGGGTCTAAATCACAAAAGCAGATAGAATATATAGTATAGCGTCTTAATAAATCACAATAGCAGAGAATGTGTAGTCTAGTGTCTTAATAAATCACAATAGCAGACAGAGAATGTGTAGTCTAGTGTCTTAATAAATCACAATAGCAGACAGAGAATGTGTAGTCTAGTGTCTTAATAAATCACAATAGCAGACAGAGAATGTGTAGTCTAGTGTCTTAATAAATCACAATAGCAGACAGAGAATGTGTAGTCTAGTGTCTTAATAAATCACAATAGCAGAGAATGTGTAGTCTAGCGTCTTAATAAACCACAATAGCAGACAGAATGTGTAGTCTAGTGTCTTAATAAATCACAATAGCAGACAGAATGTGTAGTCTAGTGTCTTAATAAATCACAATAGCAGAGAATGTGTTGTATAGCGTCTTAATAAATCACAATAGCAGACAGAGAATGTGTAGTCTAGTGTCTTAATAAATCACAATAGTAGACAGAGAATGTGTAGTCTTGTGTCTTAATAAACCACAATAGCAGACAGAGAATGTGAAGTCTAGTGTCTTAATAAATCACAATAGCAGACAGAATGTGTAGTCTAGTGTCTTAATAAATCACAATAGCAGACAGAGAATGTGTAGTCTAGTGTCTTAATAAATCACAATAGCAGACAGAGAATGTGTAGTCTAGTGTCTTAATAAATCACAATAGCAGACAGAGAATGTGTAGTCTAGTGTCTTAATAAATCACAATAGCAAACAGAGCAAACAGAGAATGTGAAGTCTAGCGTCTTAATAAATCACAATAGCAGACAGAGAATGTGTAGTCTAGTGTCTTAATAAATCACAATAGCAGAGAATGTGTAGTCTAGCGTCTTAATAAACCACAATAGCAGACAGAGAATGTGAAGTCTAGTGTCTTAATAAATCACAATAGCAGACAGAGAATGTGTAGTCTAGCGTCTTAATAAACCACAATAGCAGACAGAGAATGTGTAGTCTAGTGTCTTAATAAATCACAATAGCAGACAGAGAATGTGTAGTCTAGTGTCTTAATAAATCACAATAGCAGACAGAGAATGTGTAGTCTAGTGTCTTAATAAATCACAATAGCAGACAGAGAATGTGTAGTCTAGTGTCTTAATAAATCACAATAGCAGAGAATGGGTAGTCTAGCGTCTTAATAAACCACAATAGCAGACAGAATGTGTAGTCTAGTGTCTTAATAAATCACAATAGCAGACAGAGAATGTGTAGTCTAGTGTCTTAATAAATCACAATAGCAGAGAATGTGTAGTATAGCGTCTTAATAAATCACAATAGCAGAGAATGTGTTGTCTAGTGTCTTAATAAATCACAATAGCAGAGAATGTGTAGTCTAGTGTCTAAATAAATCACAATAGCAGACAGAGAATGTGTAGTCTAGCGTCTTAATAAACCACAATAGCAGACAGAGAATGTGAAGTCTAGTGTCTTAATAAATCACAATAGCAGACAGAGAATGTGTAGTCTAGTGTCTTAATAAATCACAATAGCAGAGAATGTGTAGTCTAGCGTCTTAATAAATCACAATAGCAGACAGAGAATGTGAAGTCTAGTGTCTTAATAAAACCACAATAGCAGACAGAGAATGTGTAGTCTAGTGTCTTAATAAATCACAATAGCAGACAGAGAATGTGTAGTCTAGTGTCTTAATAAATCACAATAGCAGACAGAGAATGTGTAGTCTAGCGTCTTAATAAATCACAATAGCAAACAGAGAATGTGAAGTCTAGCGTCTTAATAAATCACAATAGCAGACAGAGAATGTGTAGTCTAGTGTCTTAATAAATCACAATAGCAGAGAATGTGTAGTCTAGCGTCTTAATAAATCACAATAGCAAACAGAGAATGTGAAGTCTAGCGTCTTAATAAATCACAATAGCAGACAGAGAATGTGTAGTCTAGTGTCTTAATAAATCACAATAGCAGAGAATGTGTAGTCTAGCGTCTTAATAAACCACAATAGCAGACAGAGAATGTGAAGTCTAGTGTCTTAATAAATCACAATAGCAGACAGAGAATGTGTAGTCTAGCGTCTTAATAAACCACAATAGCAGACAGAGAATGTGTAGTCTAGTGTCTTAATAAATCACAATAGCAGACAGAGAATGTGTAGTCTAGTGTCTTAATAAATCACAATAGCAGACAGAGAATGTGTAGTCTAGCGTCTTAATAAATCACAATAGCAAACAGAGAATGTGAAGTCTAGCGTCTTAATAAATCACAATAGCAGAGAATGTGTAGTCTAGCGTCTTAATAAATCACAATAGCAGACAGAGAATGTGTAGTCTAGTGTCTTAATAAATCACAATAGCAGAGAATGTGTAGTCTAGTGTCTTAATAAATCACAATAGAAGACAGAGAATGTGAAGTCTAGTGTCTTAATAAACCACAATAGCAGACAGAGAATGTGTAGTCTAGTGTCTTAATAAATCACAATAGCAGAGAATGTGTAGTCTAGCGTCTTAATAAACCACAATAGCAGACAGAGAATGTGAAGTCTAGTGTCTTAATAAATCACAATAGCAGACAGAGAATGTGTAGTCTAGCGTCTTAATAAATCACAATAGCAGACAGAGAATGTGTAGTCTAGTGTCTTAATAAATCACAATAGCAGACAGAGAATGTGTAGTCTAGTGTCTTAATAAATCACAATAGCAGACAGAGAATGTGTAGTCTAGCGTCTTAATAAATCACAATAGCAGACAGAGAATGTGAAGTCTAGCGTCTTAATAAACCACAATAGCAGACAGAGAATGTGTAGTCTAGTGTCTTAATAAATCACAATAGCAGAGAATGTGTAGTCTAGCGTCTTAATAAACCACAATAGCAGACAGAGAATGTGTAGTCTAGCGTCTTAATAAATCACAATAGCAGACAGAGAATGTGTAGTCTAGCGTCTTAATAAATCACAATAGCAGACAGAGAATGTGTAGTCTAGCGTCTTAATAAATCACAATAGCAGACAGAGAATGTGTAGTCTAGCGTCTTAATAAATCACAATAGCAGAGAATGTGTAGTCTAGCGTCTTAATAAACCACAATAGCACACAGAGAATGTGTAGTCTAGCGTCTTAATAAACCACAATAGCACACAGAGAATGTGTAGTCTAGCGTCTTAATAAATCACAATAGCAGAGAATGTGTAGTCTAGCGTCTTAATAGAGAAAGCGGACAGAACTTCTGGTCTCGGGACTGAATCACATTAGTCGACAGAGAATATGTAGTTTAGCGACTTAATCCCGATATATTGCAATGAACTTGTGGTTTCGTGTCTAAATCACAAACGAGACATTAAACATATTTCAAAAAATGCAATCCCTTTCAGGTTGAATTCTCTGTTGCTCTTCAACAATTTCAACTGGTTTTTTTAATAGAAAATTAATTCTTTTTGTCACATTTCAGGAGCCTGAAGTGTGTTTCTAGTTCCTAATTCCGTTCAAGAAAACTAGATTCTACGTGTTGTTCCAGTTTAATCAAAAACGGAGTTGGAAACCAGATCCTAGTGACGATAAAGAAAAACGTATATGTTGGCAAAACGAAAAGTCCAATACGCGTGATACCATTTAATTCGGTACAGGAATCGAACCCACAACTGTTCAGAATTAAATCAAGACTACCATAGCTTTTGTAAAGGGAATTGTCTATTACGGAACTCATATTCAAACTCTAGTTGTGTTTGTTACGGAACTAGGAACCAACTTCAACCTTTTTCACATTTCCATCAATGGACACCAAATGTTCTGACATTCGTTGTTTCTTCGCCTCCGACCGCTAGGGTACCTCGGTCAAAGAGATAACCTGCTACGACACATATGTCCGGAAAACACTCGACAACGAAACGGTACACTCCGGACTAACAGTCAATACAGTTATGTCCGGGAACAAGATACTTCTCTGCTGTTTAAACGAGCGGGTTCTAATCAGGCATGTTCCGCCATCAAATCTTAGTTTCGACTTCAGAAGTACGTCTTCAATATGAGAGGATTTTTCATTTCATGCGAGATTGTATTAAATAGGTATTAGAAGTTGTCTTTTTTTACGCTGGACCAGAAAAATTAAAACTGCGAAACGAGTTTCATAAAATCTCTTATCACACAAGTTACAAATGATACATTTTGGTGGTCTTAGTGTATCATCTCTATATCTGGAGATTTTTTTATGTACCTTTCTCTCATATGTAGGTTTATCGCGTGAAATAGCCTATGTTGGGACTGATCAGAACATGGTTTACAGGCGGCAATCATGTTTTTGACAGCCACAGGTTACTATCACGGATCCTTTTGTAGTGTTCAAGAACCATGTAACTGGTTTACTTGTATTTAGAAATCACTCTAAGGAGAAGTAATATTTAAGTGTCCCGGTTATT